GAAGATCCTGAAGCATGCCAAAACATTGCTCTCCAGAGTTTAGCGCCACGGATGAACCTGACTGCTGCGTCTTGACGATCCGAATTTGTGCCAGAACGCCATTTTGGGGATTTCAACACCGCGACTCAACATAACTGTTGCGCCCGCATAACCCTGAATCTTTCCAAAACGCAATTTCTGGTACGTTGATCATGGGAACCCGTGCGACCGTTGCACATGTTGAAAACGAATGTGCGCGGTGCTCAGGCCAGAGCCACATTTTGTGAAAGGAACCGCCCTTAATCCGTGAAAGTCTTGCAACTGTTTAATCGAATGTGCGCGGCGCTAAGGCGATGGCTACAGTTTGACAACCTTCGAAAACCACCCGCCCTCAATTCGGGAAGCTCCTTCATTTTTTGTTACAAATGTGCGCGGCGCTAAAGCGAGAGCCACAACTTCAAAACCACCCGCCCTCAATCCTAGAAGCTCTTCTATTTTTTATTACGAATGTGCGCGGCGCTAAAGCGAGAGCCACATGTTGAAGACCACCCGCTCTCAACCCGCGAAACTTATGCAAATTGTTATATCGAATATGCGCGGCGCTGAAGCGAGAGCCACATGTTGAAGACCACCCGCCTTCAATTCGTGTTTTTTTTGCAAATGTTTGAACCGAATTTGCGCGGCGCTCAGGCGAGAGCCGCATTTTGAACACCACCCGCCCTCCATCAGAGAAGTTGCTGCCATGTTTGGGCGCCAGAGCCATACATGGCGAGGACGCCCGGCCCGCCCTAAAAACTGTTAGCTTCGGGGTGCGGCAGGGAGAAATTATTTATAAGGACGGAAAGGAGAGGAGGAGGAGGAGGAGGAGCAGGAGGAGTAGGAGTGAACAGGTCTAGTCACCGTCGAGAGAAACAGGGGGGAGGGTATCAAAATTATCCAGTCGAAAGGCCCAGCCATATGCAATTGTGGGTACCGCAGTTGTGAGCACCGCCTTCGGTGGAGCGCCCTGTGGGGCCACGAAACGCGTGAGGGGAGCGCCGACATGGGGCGGTGGCGCCATGAGAACCCTACCGGCTGGGCCTTCGGTGGATGTCCCTATGGGGCCACGAAACATGTGAGGGGTGTGCCGAAATGCGCGCGGTGGCGCCATGGGAACTTTGCCATCGGGGCCCTCTTCGGTGGAGCCCCCCATGGGGCCACGAAGCGTGTGAGGGGTGCGCCGAAATGGGCGCGGGGCCGCCACGCGAACTTTGTGACATTGGGGCCTTCGGTGGAGCTCCCGGTGGGGCCACGGAGCGTGTGGGGGGTGCGCCGAGATGGGGCGGGGCCGCCATGCCAACTTTGCCACTGGGGCCTTCGTTGGAGCTCCTTACAGGGCCACGAAACGTGTGAGGGGGGTGCCGAAACAGATACATGTGAAGAGGAGAGGCAGGGATGGGAGGAGGGAGGAGGGGGAGGAAGGAGCCGGGAGGATGAGAACGTGAGGCGTCGTCTCTTCAAAGCGAGGACCCAACCCAAGAGGATGGTCGGGAACAAAATGAGATAGAGGCGTCCCCACATAAGAGCCAGCGGGGGGTCTGAGGTGGCCCTGCACTAGTTTCGGCCAGAAGGAAGGGGGGGGCGTGGGTTCGAGAAGGTCTGTTGCTTTGCTCGGCCTCTGGGGGCCGTTTTCCCGCCCGGGGAGCGTCAGAAAAGGATCCGGGGCGAAAAATGTGCATCAGATGGACACTGGGGTCCGGGGACAGATCTTGAGCGGATTTGGTTTGACCCCCCCTTCCTCACTGACTTTCTGGGGCCCCAACCAGTTCAGACCCATGGCCGCCTCCAAGCGAAGGCACCCCCATGTCTTCCAAAGTTTCCTGTGCCTTGAAGGACGGAACGAAGTACTCCTGCTGGTGAGGTGTGGTGGGGGCTGCAGTTCAGGCAGGGCCACAGGTCGGCCTGGACTTGAATCGAACGAGGAGCAGGGGGAGCAAGGCAGGACTCCAGGATAACACACAGAGCTGCCGTACGCCCTAGCGGTCGCTTCGCTCGCCCGCGCTCGTCCATGCCCTTAGCACGTCCGCGACGCGGTGCCGATCGCAGCGGCCTCGTAAGTTCATCCCCATCGATCCGATCAATCCGATATTATCGATTCTGGCTGGCCCGGTTTGGTTCGATTCCGCCATCCCGACGGTCCGATGCGGCCCGATTGCAGGCATGGCGCTGTTGCGCATCCCTAGCGCTGCCGATCCGACTCGATCTCGTCTCCGTGCCGATGCGGCCCAAGCCCACACTTCGATTGTAGACATGCAGTTTCATGATTTTTTAAACGAGCTTGGAAGTATCGACGACCGACGTTTCATCCCGAGTCGTTTTTGTACGGTCCCAGGCCCAGCGAGGGACCCCAGATGCCAAACACGTTCGAACACCTCTTGTCGTGATTTGTACGACGCAAGCATGTCTGGGATGCGATCCGATCCCGCGATGATTGACCCTGCATTCCGTGTGGACCTGCGCGCGCGCTTTGAGACGGGCCGAGGACTCCCTGGAGCCGGAGGGCGTGCAGAGCGCCCTGCGCGGAGAGGTCAGGGCACTCCGCGTCGCACTGGAGGCCGTCGAGGCCCAGCGAGAGGACCCCGTCGGCCGCCGCGCCGCCTCCGCTCCTTCGCCGCCCGCACCAGCGCCTGCACCAGACATGCTCGCGTCGTGATGAGAGCACGACGGGAGGTCTTTTTTGTGCCAGCACGTTTCTGGCAGAACGCGCCGGATCTAATCGCGCACATCTTCTCAGAGCCCAGAGTTGCGAGGATGTCTCTGGCGAAACGGGCTGATCCACGTATCGCGCGATATCTCGGATATTAGAGTTGTGAGAAGGTCTCCGGCGAAACGCGCCGGATCACCTCGCGCGCGGCATCCCCAGAGCCGTGAAGAAAACACCACGGGAGGTTTTTGGCGATCTTCTGCCCCTGGGGGCCCTCGCCTGGCCCCAGGACTGTCAAGCAACGATTCGGGAGCGGGGAAGGGGTCCAGAGTCTCGACCCATTCCCCCATCCCGGGTCGCTGTTTGGACGGTCCGTTGTTCGCAACGTACACCCCCAGAGCCCCAGAGGTCTGGACTCCAGACCTCTGCGGGCGCACGGTGCGGAACAGAAATCGCGATGGCGGGGCCTGGGGACCCATGCCGCCCGTCTGAGGCCAAAGCTGGTGGGGTCGAAGGATGTTGCCGCAGCGCCGCCGACACATCGTCGGTGCTGTGCGATCGGCAGCTTGCTTGACGCATCGCCGATGCATCGCCGATGTATCAGCGGTGCGGGGCCATCCCCGAACTGATACCGCCACCCTTCCATCGTTTTCCCCCTTTTGGGCTTCCTGGAAGGCCCTCGTCGTCACCGCTGGACTCGCCTCGACGTTATGGTAAGAACGCACCCTGGGAGAGGTCCGAGGAGTAGCGGTGTTGGTAGTTGGTTTCCCCACTTGCGGTCGGCCTCCATGACCTTCACGGCATCAACGTGAGGAAGAGGGGTCAGAAGGAGTGTCCAGAGTTTTTTTTTGCGTTCCGGCCTCTCGGGGCCCCTTCCGGGGCCCGGGACCGTCAGAAAACGGGTCAGGATAAAAGGCTCGTCTGGGGGAAGGCACTAGTGTCCAGGACCCCTCAGGACCAGCTTCCCTTGATGTCAATGGCTCCTGTGTCTTTCTCTCATCACTGGGGTCAGACCGCGAAGAATGTAGTCGTGCAGTTGTTGAGGGGTGCCCCGTGCTTGTTGATAACGATTTGGTGTACAATTGCTGCAATCGTCATGGGGGGGCAGCGTGTGACACCGCACACTGATAGCGTGCGGATGTCCAGCGCGCGCTTGACTGGCCAAGCGGTCCGTGCGCCTGAAATGTCTTCAGAGTAGGCGTGCCTCTTGCTCAGCCGTTGCTTGCGAGGTGCATCGCATCTTCGAGGCACACTCGCGGTCATGTCATCCATGATCTCAAGGCCTGAAGTGGTTATAACCGTTGTTAGTTGTTCTACGTGATGAGTATTGGATGAGCATCCTTAAGGGTTCCCCACACACGTGATATACACTACATCGTTGCAAAATAAGCGCCAGGCATTTGAAGCGAGACAAGCAAACTCCACACCCAGGGACGTACCCAAACACACTCACTTGATGTATTGTATTATCCAGAGGGCTCTCGCGGGCACGCGAGGTCTGCTAGGGGCCTGGAAAGTGGCGGCATCTGTACCTCTGTCAACGCTCATGAGGGCGGGGCTTGGTTTGGTCCAACGTACCGCGCAGGGGCTGCAAAAGTGGCGTTGGTCGTAAGTCCTGCAGCCCTTTGACTCCCTGGGTTGCATCATCGGGTTTGCCAGTTGTGGCTGCATCACTCGAAGTATCGCCGATAGGCGACGGGCAATATGTTTTGGCCTGCCGGGCAATTCCGCAAAGACGTGTCATTTTAGATGGTACTATTCCAGATCCTTCAACTTTGTCGCGGCCTGTTGCACCCTTGGGGTCCTGAGACCTCATCTTACTGGCCTCTCCAGTGTGTAAGCCCTGGATTATTGTCCTTGTCCTGGCGAGGAAGGGTGCTACGACCATACAGTCCTTCCCTATTAGGCAAGGGATGGCATCTGGGTCAGCGTGCACGGCCTTGTGCTGCTTTCGCTCGCGACCCCTTGAACATCCTTGGCTGCCCGACTCGCACAGCCGAAAGCTCTCCAAGTCGCCAGCTACTACAGAGTCGTTTGGCCCGTCCGAGCCTCGCACACCTCGTAACGAGGCCCCCTCACCAGCGCCCTTTGCGATGACTGGTAGCTGAGGCAGCGAGCCCGATCGTGCGATTAGACCACAGTCGGCGCGGCGCAACTGTGGCAGCAGGATTCAGTGACAAGAACGGTACACGGCGGCCCGCGGTCGTAGGATCCAGAATCGAGGATCGAGATCGCCGGTCACTCGAAGTGTATCGGTCAGGGTCGGTAGCGAGGACGGCGATCGGCAGCATAATCTACGAGACACCGAGCCCGCGACACGGCACGACCCGCTTCCCCC